CTTGTCCCACTAGGCTGGATTGCATTAAAAGCAGTTGCACATCTGTCTGAACAGATGGACAGCGCCCCAGCATCAACTCCTCACTCAGAGACTGTGAATGTAGAGCACTGTCCTTTAAATAGCCGACTCCAACCCAGTCAAGGTTTAAACACTGACGCTCCTCTAAGGCTGGGAAACGTATCAGCTGAATATTGAAGCACAAATCCATGTTGTGGAAATAAAACATGATGTCAAATAAATAACAACTTGAGGTTTGCACTGTCTCTCCGTTGTGGGCTGTTTGAGGGAATTAACAGTATCTAAAATCTAAAAACACAGATAACCTCGATGTAAAAATAGCTTGAGGTCGCTCAGCTCACAAATTTACAGAATTGTGTTTGAAACTACTTGCTTGTATCTCCATAGCTCTTTCTCTCATTAGACAAACAATTTACAAGTTGCGCAAACCAAAGCAAGAAATTTTTAAGTTGAATTCAGCCCATTTTTTCCTTACATATTATTGACCTGAAATACTTTCCTCCTAATTTTAATTGTCCCCTTTAAAAGGAAAAAAAGAACGATACATAAATTTAGTGTAACCACAAAAAAGCTTAAAATTGTCACAAATTGTGATAACATTACATAATCATTTTGCTTCATGGTTACAAGATACCTGGGATGCAATAATAATGACATAATGTTTAGTAAAAAAAAGTAAAGCTGTCATCCACAACTACAGTGAAGATGGGATTTAGGTAAAGTGTTGTTTGTTATTCTACTGCTTAAGATATTTTCTGATGGCTTTACTGGTTATACAAAAAGATAAACTTTAAAAATATGTCATTTAAAACGCGTTGTATTTGCTGAAAATCATCGTAGATGTTGTTTGATGGTACCTAGATGGGGGTTATGGTTTGATAGATGGAAATGTGTCTTGCTCAGAGACAATTTTAGAGGGTAATAAAAACGGCTACAGACAGATTTTTAGCACAACGGTGAGAAACTGCACAGAAGGACAGCAAATTTTCTTTTAAGCCATCGTGCAGATGTCAAAACCTTGTCGCTCAGAGGGTAGACAGTCCTTTTGCTTTGAGGACTTCATGTATCTCCTGTCCGCCTCACACGGTCCCACCTTACATACACCCATGGACCATTTTTCAGATTCCACAGCTGATGAATGCAAAAGGACGGAGAAAATGTGCCCATAGAAACAGTTCTCAGTGGATCTGACCAAGCAGAGGACATCATGCTTCCTGTCAGAGGCAAACACAGGCAATTTCCCTGTATTATCTTCTAAATGTAACAAGTTTCTTTCTGATGGCTTGGCTCTTCTGCTTATTACTGAGACTGAGTTAGAGAATTGCCAGCGTATCATTATGTTGTTTTTTTAAGCCAGGACTGAAAGAATGAGAAAGCAGTGAAACACAGTGAGAGGAATGTCCCATCCTACCAAATAAATCACTGCCAGGAAAAAACATTTTGATTTACGACTAGAGTCACAGTGAGTGAGTCAGAGTTTTTGCATTGCTTTTTTAAGACTTTACACAACATATGAAAACAAGCCTAGCAGTCGCCTACCTTTATTTTCTGTTTTATGGGGAAATGTGATTCACTCAAAGCTCTACGTATGTAACGTATTGTTTGTCTGCTGTGTGATGTGCAGGTATTCAGAAAAGTCGGGGTATAATCAGTAGAGAGCTGTATGTCATGCAGTGCATACCGTATACTTGTTCAAAGTTAGAGTTTTTATTGTGACATAAGCAGGTATTGATGCAAATGAATGCAGTTTCACAGTGAAAATGTGTTATAATAAGTAAAGATCTCTTGCGCTTGTAGATTGGTATGCAGGGTAGTTGGGTAGGTTTTGGCACAAATAGGGCTCAGATCCAGGGAATACAACACGCACTTCCAAATTGTGTCCAGGCTTGTAACTGGTTGCTCAGAGACCAAGGGAAGCTGCATGTTTTTCTGGCTGCAGCTTGAATGCAACAGGTCTGTACAGCTGTTGAAAAAACACTCCAAGCATCACATTCTTTCAGCAGATAATGAATCTATTTCTCACATCAGTTTAACTTTTTGAGTTGAAGTACTAATTGAACTTTTTGATTATATAATTTGAGTTGCACATGTACACCAGCTTAAATATTCCTATGAACGGTATTATCGACCATGCAAAGAATGCAGTGGAGTTCTCTTGCTGCTGTAGTTGCAAGTCTTGCCTCTACAGCCAAGTGTTGCATCTTAGGATGAGACTTACCAGTATATCACGAAGCTACTAACTCCATGCTTCACTAATGTCTGGCTGGATGGGAGTTAGGAGGCTGCCTAGAAGGCCAAGAAAATACCCTTTCCCATTGCAAATGTCTTATGCTGGGAAATAAGGATACCCCAGAACTTCCCCCGAGCTGTTATCTCACATGACCCATTTTCATTATGACTGGCCTAATGGTTGGTGACTGGCTGCTGAGTGCTAAATGGAAAGAGGACAATGCATAGATGAGAGCACACACAATGCAATGATAGCTGCTGGACTCAAGCTAAAGAGTGACTATTAGTCAAATCTGAGACTCATGGTCCAGACTGGTTTATGTTGAGTCAGGAGAGGTGAAGACTGGGTACTGAGAGTTAAAAGGCTATGTGTGGTGAAGAGTGGATGATATGGCATTTTCAGGGAAATGTGCAGGTCTGGCAACTGTACTTTAGAACCATACCAAAAATGAAACGGGGAGCAGAACAGCCTGGAGGAGTTGAGCCACACAGCTGGACTGCAGGCTGAAATATGACAGTGATATTTCTAGAGCTGAAAGAAAGGAATGAGAGCGCCAGGAGGCAGAACCACTTAACCACACGATTTAGCCAAAGGGCTTGCTTGGAGCACTGTGCTGCATGTCCTCATAAATACAAACAAAAACTGAAAAAGAATACATAACATTATGTGTATAGTAGTTTGTGCTGTCAAAGGTTCATTCACAGACACCCTTTACACAGTCCTGTCTCAAAGATTCACCTACTCAGCTCAATACCTGCCTCCTCCTCCAAGCTTGTGACATTTATAAAGAAAACCATAACAAGGGGGTTTGTTAAAGGTTCAGAAGAACTGTGGAGGGCTCATCCCTCATTAGAATTCCCTTATCAGTCTTTTTCATGGAGCATAGGCTTGACATGTCTGGGTTTATTAATCGCTCCAGGAAATATTATTGACCGGGACCTTCTGCTCCCGCTCTCCCTGCTGCAGAAAGAGTCTCTCTGCTCTGCCGCCCCCACATTCCTCCGGTGTCCTGCCTGGACGTAATACAGGACACTGCGGCACAGCGTGGAGCCTTCAACAGTGTCTTCATTGACTCTGTACTTGGCTTAGGCAGCTTGTTTTCTCTGCAGCTGGCTGCAAAGTACCACTCACATACCTGCAAGTGTGGGGAAGAAGAAGTTGCTCTGCTGTTTCATTAGATCTGTGTTGGCCTTGTGTTAGAGTAAAAATGCTCAATTTAATAGCAACTACTAGGCTGAGATAATAACAAGGTTTCAGAATAGAATAGAATATACTTTATTGATCCCCAAGGGTAAATTGCTTATTTGTTGAAAGCTACTCCATCTTAAGTAATAAATACGTCTGTAAAAAAAAAAAAAAAAAAAAAAAAAAAAAAAGTCGATAGTCAATATAAAATATCAAATTTAAAAATAATAGTTGCTTAAACTAATCATCCATTCATCTCTACTTATCTGATATTAGGACCTGGTGCAGGAACTTTGACATCCCTCCCCTCATTAATACACTCTTGCTGATTCTATGGGATGTCTTGGTTTCCCAGGTCAGATTAATGAAGTCTCTCCATCTAGTTCTGGGTCTGCCTCTCGGTCTCTTCCCAACGAAAGGCATCTGGAACACCTCCAAATGACAAACAGAACTTGCAAAGTTCACTACAAACTCAAACGTAGATGCAGCTTTAGTGTTGGTTACACAAGGGCTGGGTGGCCCTTCAAAGGAACCACAAGACCCCTTGCTGAAATGCTTCCAGTAAAACAATCATAGGGACAAGCCATATTCACAAAACTTCCAACCTCCCACAGTTACCTCAACAACTCCACTTGTGTAAAGAATTTACCGTTGCACAGTGAGGACAGATGCTGCACTGAGTGACTAATTTCCAATGCTCCAGAGCAAGAAGTCTGATAGGTTGACAGTTGAAAACGCACTTTTCGGTCTTCTTTCTTCTAGACTGTGACCACCTCTCCAGTCTGCCACTCTTCAAACAGTGTGGTCAAGACTGGTCAAAAAAATGAAACTTCTATAACCTGCCTTTCCATTCAATCTAAACATTCACTGCAAGATTGTTGGACTTTTTGTGTTTTTACTGATTCAGGGATGTGTAAATGTGTATGCATTGTTCCTAAACCTACACATGCAGTGCCTGGAAATCCCTTATTCTTTGTCTTGGCCTTGTTACAGAAATAGCTGGACGAAAGCAGCTGGTATCAGCTACATCATTGGAATTTAGTGGAAGTGGAAGTTCTGTTTCCTGAGGTTGATGATACATTCAAATACTGTTACCTTAAGGTGTTACATTCAGCATTGCCTGTAAATTTAACACAGAAACTGCATTTATTTTGAAATTATTCAAAAATTTTATGTTAAAAAGGTGTTTTTTCCCCCTACTTGTTCTCCATAAAGACATATTTTTCTCAATGGGCTTAAAGAGGTTCTGATATCTTGCAACAAAATTGTTGAAGTCTTCTGCCATCATGTGGACATTTGTGGTATTACAGCTATACATTTTCCCCTGACAGGGCTAATGAATGACCAGGATTTGTGTGCTGTTCCATTGTGGTTCTCGTGAACTTTGCACATTCCTGAGCACATTCCTGAAAGCAGCTCACGATTAAAGAAATACATCTCAGATCTGTCAAAAGCTTTTGTGTCCAATGAATAGTGGTACTATGCAATAGTCACTTTCTCATGAATCTTGATCTCAGACATGTCTGGAACTAAATTTAATAGCCGCCCTCATTTTGTTTTCCTGCAGGCACAATGGTCCCCCTTCTGTTTTTGGTAGCAACCACAACAATACCCTATTCCTATTCCAATACCACTGCCAATGACACCAACTCAAAAGGTAAGAACAATGGCAAGGGCCACTCCACTTCAACGTAATATCCCATTAATGCTTACTGCAGTCATCACATTTCTCAGAGATAGTATTATCGGTTTTGTGCTGTGATTGCATCTGCTTGATAACAGCCTTCAGCTTTGTATTTACCAGATCACAATTAAGCTCGTAGCAGCAGTTAGTAATTTAAAGATTATTGTGAACTTTTATGCTGAGGACAGATAGCTGACTGGTGGTCTTGTCTTCTTTTTGAGAGTCTCTAATTTTCTGTCCAAGCTGATGCATATCTGTGTTGACAAAATACTGCTGAGACCTGTTATTAAACTGGCTCTGTGGCCATGAAAGAAAACAGCAGCCACTTTGCTGCTCCAAGTATTTATTAGATCAAGTCATACAATGTACCTTAACACAGGTCGATCTCAATAGATTAAACGATTAAATAGGTATATAATCAGAAATTCTTCTTAACAAGTACAACTTCTATAGAGTTGAAACCAGAAATTTACATAAACTAAATAAAATACACACGCACCCTTTTTCATCACATTTAAAGTCAAATCAGACTTCTCCTTATATTAGTTCAGCTAGAACTACCAGCATTATTTATATTTGCTAAATGACACAATAATGAGAATATCCCAGAGATTTATTTCTTGATGTCTTCAAAATTTGAAGATTACATGCAGAATAATTAACAACGAAGGAAAGCCCAGTTGATGATGTCCACTGATACATTTAAATTAATTGGAGATGCATTTGTGGCTGTATAAAAAAGAAAATTCAGGTTTTTACTTGATGTATGTAAAAGTCTGGTTTATTTTACATATGTCTTTTTATTTGATGTATATAAATACCTGGCTTCAACTATAAATCCATTAGACAGTGGTATTAATAGTTGTTTATGTGGTATTTATAGTGTTTATTTTTATTCATTTTTATTAATGTTTATATGTATCTAATGAACACCTAAACTTCAGCCAGTGAGAAAAATTTTAAACCAATAAAAACCAATAATAGACTCAACTATGTTACAGAAGAGTTATGCTTTCAGTGTTATTACCTTCATAATCCTGGAGAAGACTGCCGACTTGGCATTTGTCCAGCAGACAGTCACTGACAGACACAACAAGAAGAGTAAACCACAAAACTAAGGAAGCTGTGTTCACAGAATCATCTAGGCAAGCATATATGTAGAAGGTTACGTGACTGAAAAACCCATGGTGGTAAGAAATCTGAACAAGCAATAAGTATAATTGCAGCCTTGATGAGGAGGAAGATCAAAAAGTGTAGCTGTAGTTCAAGAGCCACCATACAGAAATATCCAGGATATGGGCAACAGTTTGTTTGAAGCCACTCCTGAACCGGAGATATCAGCACCATGTTTACCTGGGATGAGCAGGAAAACGACCAGCCTATTGCTCAGTGGTCCAGCCCTCTTTTAAGATTAATTAAAATTTAGAAGTTTAGAATTTGGAGGAAGAGATTGCATCCACAGAATCCAAGTTGCTTAAGGTCCAGTGTGACATCTCATCTGTTGGTTTTGCTCCACTGTTAATTAAAAAGTTCAATGTCAGCACAGCTGTTTACCAGGACATTTTATATTCCTTCCCATTCTCTTTACTCACAAGCTTTATGAAAATGTTAACTTATTACCTCATGAATAGAACTAAATGCTGAATATATCAATTTGTGTAATAAATATCTATGATTTACATGTTTGACTTTTAGAGTACATTCACACAACAGGTTGTAATACTCAATTCAGATTTTTTGCTGAAATCCTTTTTTTTTGCATGGTCATTCTAACTACTAATGAAATGTGATCACAATCACACTGTGCAAATGGCTTACAAGCTTTTGACAATCTGCAATGCTTAGAAGAACGTTGACATCAAACAGTAAAGCATGGTTTACGGAAGTAACAGTGAGTGCCGCCATCTATGGATCAATTTAAAGCTATTTAGCAATGGGAGCCAACAGTATTGTCAAAATCATAACAGAAAGGAAGCTAGTAAAATTGTAGTTAGGAAGCTAATAGTGATGACCTTCTGTAGAGCACTGACTGCAACTTCTGTAGAGAAATCTGTCTGGATGTGCAGTCAGAGCCAGGAGTGCTGAGAGTGTGATGTGATGAGCTATGAGTTCATAATTTTCATAATTCTAAGTTTCAGCCAGTGTTTATGTCCAGATGTAATGTGCCTGGCTTCTGCTAGTGGACAAATATGATGCATGCCTCGCACCAATGACACAACAGTCGCATCAAATGCAACATTACCGCTCAAATGCTTTGAAAACAATTGGATAAGTGTCAGAATTACCGTAGTAAAAACTGGAAAGACAAAGACCATGTAGACAAATATGGTGTTAATATAGTTTGAGTTGAATTCTTTGATTTAATTTTCCAATTTATTTATAAGCAGCATTAGTGTTTGTGACTTCTTTCTGCATTTTTGTTGGTACTGTTTCTTTTAGCCTCTTCTCCATTCTCAGGAGGAGATAAATCTCACAACCCCCAAATCCTTCCCATTGTGCTGGTTGTGTCCCTGCTGGTGCTCATCTTCACACTGTTGGCCTGGTACATCCTCAGGTAAAAAAAAAAAAAAAAAAGAGAGAAAATGGCAAAAACCAAGAAACTCTCCAACCCTTAGCTTGGCTCGCCTTTCCTCCTTCCCCTGGCGGAGAGCCCAGCACAGGGGCAGAGCTGGAGGTGACGAACACTTCCTGCTTTTTAGTCACTGAGGCGGAGCCCATTTAGGAAGCAAACTCCCTCGCATGTTTAGTCATAGCAGAGCAGAGCAGGCTGACAGGGGAGCTCCACACGCAGCTTTAGACTGAAGACAGAATTCTGATCCGCATTTTGACACAAACACAGCCTCTCCAAGACGCCAGCTAATGAAAAAAACTAAGTTTGCAAGCTTCAAATGGTAGGATGGCAAGTTTCTTGTTCAAAAGTGTGGAATGTTGGTTAACTTTTATTGAAAGACAAAAATTGATTGATTGATTTACTGTCTGTGTCTCACTTTGCAATGTTTTGTTTCCCACTTCAGGTCAAAAACCCAGAAACCAGCAGTCGTCACAACAGTTGACAAAAAAATACCGAATGGCATTTTGGAAGAACAAGGTAAACAAGATAGAACTGCATGCTCAGAGATCCTGCTGGCGGATTGTAGGTGGCATGACAAGATGGCTGTTAAAAAGATGCAAATATAAATCTCTCATATTTAGACTTTGAGCTCAGAAGAAAGAAAGTCAAAGCCAACAGAGGGAGGGAATTAATACGTTTTTAAATTTCTGCCTATACGTGAAGGTAGTCCCACCAGTTGTGGTGGTTTGAAACTTCCTGTGGTTGACATGAAGATTGAAAACAAGCTCGTTTCATGAACAGTTGCAGCTGCTTTGAGGCTGCCTGTGAAGTTAGGCGTTGCAAAGATCAGCGCTGCTCTCACAGCAGCTTTCAGCTCTGCTATTTTAAAAATGGAGCTCATTTGTGTGACGTTTGATAATACTTATCGGACCGTGCAGGAAGCTGTACATGATGAGGATTTGTGAATGTTCTTTAGGAAGCATTTTCTTATCTAGGAATGGAAAGCGCAGAGCAGGTTGTGCTCCTGGGAGAGAAGGAACTGAAAAGAAACCAAGACAACCTTCAAATGGCTGCTGCTTGGAGCAAGAACACATTTTGATTTTAAAACAGTTTAATACTTAAATAAGGCACTTTGTCTTTTTTTTTTTATTCGGACTGTATCTGTCCATGTGTGAATGATGTGATTTGGTTTGTATTTTAGAGATTGGCTACAGTTCTGAGTCGTTGTACACCGTTGTACCTCCAGGTCAGGTATAAAGGGTGGCATGTTACTAACACTACTACCCTCTCTGGGTTATTTTTCCAGCCTTCATTTTCTCAAAGCTGTAACTAAATGCCAGGACAGGGTGCTGCAGCTCCTCTCTGGGCTCCTTTTGGCTCCTTAACACCTGCTCATGTTTGGTGATCTGGGAAATCTGTAGAGATAGGAGGAGTAGCACAAAATTGTAAAGACTGTAGGAGTACCTGTTTAGTTTATGCAAACTGTTTTTAATTTATGTTAGTTGAGTGAGCTGATTTTTAAGATTCAGTGATTCCCAACCTCAAGTTTCTATTTCCTGCTGAATTTGGGACCTTTTCACAAATTCAGTGGCAAGTATTGTTACCCAAATATCTTCTACGTACCACTAAAGGCAACTTAAATGCCCCCAGTTGTACTTCATCACAGTTTTAGGATTGGGGAGTTGGAGGAAAGGAGTGGAAATTACCTCCGGCAACTAAAACACACTGACTGAAAGGTTGACAGCTCTTAGCTAATCAAAAAAGATGTTAATAAACTTGACATTTGGTGCTAAAAGAAATTCATAATCGGTGGATATTACCACAGTAAAAAAAAATTATAATTCCTAGAAATACAGTAATCTTTAAGAGCAGCACTAAGTCTTGATAGTAGAACTGTCAGTCTATTATCTTCCTTTTTCTAACTGAACTCACTTAGGTAGTGGGAGTGAACTTGTTCACAAAACATGTTTGAGTTAAACAGTTTACAAATCATTTGTAATCTCTCAAGAAATGTTCTTAGGAAAAAATGTTTGCTTGGATTTTACTGTAAAAGGAAAAAAGAAAGACATGATACTTGTACTCTGACCTAAACACTATTTTTTGATTACCATAACATGAAGCACTAAAAAGGTATGAAAAAAACAAAACAAAACATCCAATTTTGAAACAAGGGATTCCTGATTTTAGCTCTAATGTACAGACAGGTTGGGAACCACTGTTCTAATTCAACCCAATCATTTAGACTTTATTTCTTAGAACATCACAGAACATTTTTTTTTATTTCTACCATGTCTATATGATTAGTTTTCTTGACATTTAATGTTTAGCTTCAAATTATTAAACGAAAGTACCAAAAACGAGAGATGGTACCAACTATGTTCCCTCCACACAGAGCAACAGACGGTGGTCCTTCTGCCCAGGTCCCCCTCTGCCTCAAAGACCTACCTGCCCATCCCAGTGGACCACCTGGAGGAGGAGTACCGGCTCCGCTCAGCTGATGATGGCAAACTCTTCAGGGAAGAGTATAATGTGAGCTTCTCTTCAAATCTTAGAATTTAAAAAAAAAAGCTTTTATCCATTTAAGGCACATGGATTGGGCCTTCATCACTGTCCCTACATTATTCATTGAGAATTGTAAAACCGAAAAAAAACAAAAGGTTTAAAGTTAAGAATGTGTGTATTTTTATGTAGGAAATTAAAATAAGTACCATGTGTCATATTGTCCGTGACACACACTGATCTCATACTCACCCACACAAACGAAAAGTACCTATTTGACTATTTATGTCTATTGTTGAGGAGTCTGAGTCAAAATAAATTGTTCGATTCAGAGTTCAATCACCACAGAATATGTGGGGTTTTTTCAACAGTTGTAAGAGAAAGAGGAAGTTGAAGTTCTTCACTAATTTAGCAGAGGAAGTGCCTTCATGCAGCAGCTCACTGTTGATTGTGTTGTTATATAATCTATAATTTCTCTTGGCAGTCCTTGCCAGGGGGCAATGCACAGGGGACGTATGAAGAGGCAAACAAGGACGAGAACAAGGAGAAGAACAGATACCCCAACATCCTTCCCTGTGAGTGTACTTTTTGTTCTGTAGGAGCTTGCTTTGCTTCTGAGTCAAACTATGCTTCCTGTTTCTATATACACAAACAAGTGCCATTGTGTCTTTGACACTTTTTTTTTCTCGCGCTCTGACAGATACAGTAAAGCTGCCATTAACTGCTTGCACATGCAGTTACAATGACAGAACAATATTCTAATAGTTTCCTCCATAGCTTTCCTTTCTAACACATGTGGTTCCTCTTTTGAGAACTTCATGGGTTTTTTAACTCTGGTCTTACACTGCAGTTATGCCAGCAGCTCTTAAAATTAAAATAAATAACTAAGCATGTACAATCAAGTTTAAACTTGTGTAACTCTATGGGGAGGAGTTATTAGTACATTCCTGCATTTTTGGAAGCAATAACAATCTACAAAGAATTAAGCAATGCATTTTTGCAGCTTTTCTAGTGGATGAGTTTTAGTGCTTGAAATATGTTTTAGGTCTTAGTTTTGCAAAAGTTTTCACACCCATTGATCTTTTTTCATATTTGTTTAATTGCAATTTCATGAAAAGTACTGATGTTTTTTTTCCTTTAAAAAAAATTCACCAAGCTCAGTCAGATAGGATTCTGGTCAGAATTTGTGAACAGAATCTTTGAAGTCTTGACCCAGATTCTCAATTGGGTTTAGAATTTTAACTTCAACTGAACTTTAACTTGGCCATTCTGACACATCAATCTGTTCATCCATTTTCTGTAGACCCTTGGTCTCCCTTAATTGCCCTTAGGTATGAATGTGTGTTTTTTTTGTTGCCCTATGATGGACTGGTCGTGTGCGCAACAGAGCTCTTGCCCCCAATCTTAGCTAGACTGAAGACAAAATAGTTGATTAATTGAACAGTTCTCAGTGAATTTGTCAACTTTGCGATATTGTTGTATAGTCTCACTACTTTATGCTTCTCTACAACTTTCTCCCTCTCTACTATGTTCTTTGGTTGTCATGCTGATATTTAAACAGACTTGAAATCTAAGATCTAACTAGGCCATTTCTGAAGGCAGTTCGTTGAACTAGATTTTGAGATCCAAGATAAGGGTGTAGTACAATATATGAATGCCACACTCATCAAATTAGTAGTTGTAAGGAGCTTAAAAAATCCGTTCCACTAAGCAATTATCCATTACTTTGTTGGTATGTCATATAAAATTCCGATAAAATTCTGGTAAACTCAATTTTAGTTGTAGTCGACTCTAGTTTTGAGTAAAAATCTGAAAACCTTGAATGAGCAAATTAGTAAAGAAATGTGGAAATTATGTAAATTGCCATTTTCAGTAGCCTGTAATTCCTGTTCTGCGCTTTGCAGGACCTGACAAAAACAAACAAAAACCAAAAAGGGTTTCTGACTGTTTCTTTGTTGTGTAGCTATGCAGATATTAAAGTATGTGGACAATATTCAGTGTGATGCAGTTGTTCACAGGGTTCAAATTTAGCGGTTTATCTGTTTAGAAAGCATCTAAGGATTTTTTTTGTTTTTGTTTTTGTCCATTTGCAATTGGATTTAAATAATTTTCAAGCCAGATAAACTGCATATCATTCCTCATAATAACTGAGGTACTTTGTTTTTACAGTAACTATATATTTGAAGGTACCAGTTACACAACTCAAATTAGAAACATAATAATACAAATCCCTCTAAAGTCTTGGCTAAGAAGTACAGCAGTTTTAAGATGCTTCCCAGCTATTTTATTCATAACAAAGCTACATACTACTACATAAAATAAATTACTCAGCCACCTAAAACCATCTCATCTCAGATAATAAGCAAAATCACTACAAATGACAACATACCAATCTGGGTTGGCCAGGCACAGGCTGCTCGAGTTTTTGCTCAGTCAGCCAAATTTTCTTATTGTTCACCTCCTCAGACAACAGTATTAAAATTTGTTCAGTGGTTCTCTGTCTGTCGCAGTTAAAGTCAGAACTCGTCCTTCAATATGTTTAGGCACTGAATATTAGCTACAGTAAAACTTTTATTCTTAGGTTGAAATCACACAAAAATTGAAAAGAGGTGCCTGCAATGGAGTGGCAACGAGGTGCGTTGTGAAGGGATAAGGCTTTTAAACTGCTAAAAACGAACAGTGAGGCAATTGTCACACTAACACTAGCCTAGCCATTGCCTTCCTATTCCGCTCGATTCAAATCTCACTTCAAAGCACAGTCTGGGCTTTCTCCCACTGGCTTGCATTTCACCAGTAGAATTTCTACCAAGCCAATCAGAAAACTGAAGGACAAGTTGTCTGCCAGCAGTTTTAGCAATCGCAGCAAAGGAAGTGAATGAAGTCGTTTAGTCTGTTGCCAAAACCTTTCCTATATTTGGCCAGAAGTGCCGAACAAAGCCCACCACTTCATGGACAAAAATGAGTGATTGGATAGTTTTTTTTTTTTTTTTTTAGAACTTACATTTTTATGTGATTGGATAGTTTAAAACTTCAGAACAGTTCATGCCTCTCGGAAGCAGCAATTTCTCAGTAGTCAAATAATATTTATCCTAAAGATTTCTATCAAGCTAACTTCAACACTTCAGCAATACCTTCAGTCATCTTGGATTTCCGGCTCCCCTATTTCTTTTTCTTACTAACCAAAATAATGTAACAAAACTACCATTAAAGGACAGTTTATTGAAACTGTTAATGCAGTGTAATTCATGAAAGGCAGAACTAACTGGTAGCTTCTAGACTGGGCTTGCTTAGTAAACTACTAAACACTCCTGCGTAGTCAGTCTTTCACTAGAAAACAAATAGCCATTACTTCCACCTAAAGTATTGGCTTCTTTTCTCACTAACAGATGATCATTCCCGAGTGGTGCTGACTCAGTTGGATGGGAACCCATGTTCAGACTACATCAATGCATCTTACGTAGATGTGAGTTAGTTTTCCGTCATTCTGATTATGTGAATTCAAAAGTTGACGAAATAATTAATTGTGCTAATGTCAGATAAATGTTTACAGTATTGTTTCAGGAGGTATTAGTTTAAAAAAAAAATTATTTTGTTTCAACTCAGAAATAAATGCTTTGCATCATAGTCACTAGAAATATTCTTTTACCACCAGGGTTACACAGAAAAGAACAAATTTATAGCTGCACAAGGTAAGTAAATGTATAAAGGAAACTGTTCTCCTGTTTTGATTTTTTTTTCATTAGAGATTACGATAGCCTCATATTTTATTTCTCAGGACCAAAAGAAGAGACAGTAGCAGACTTTTGGAGGATGATTTGGGAGCAGAAAGTAGCAACGGTCGTCATGCTGACGAATCTGAAAGAAAGGAAAGAGGTATTTACTACTCGCGTTCCCTTAAATGTAGAAGAAGTGCACAGACATGGAGATTGTTGCTTTTTTTAACTAACACTCTTATGTTAATGCTGTGGGCTGAAGCGAAACTCAGACTTGGATGATGTGTGAAAGAGCAGAGGCGTTTAGTTTATTTTTTGTTTTTTCTATATAACATTTCAAAAGCCAGTAGAAGAATATTTTTGCAAAGTTGTTTATTACAGACGTTCTGCCCTAATGTGATCTGGACCAATTTTGAATAATTTTATTAAATAATGTGTTTCTCGTGGTATATTCCTGCAGGATAAGTGTTACCAGTACTGGCCAGACCAGGGCTGCTGGACTTACGGGAACGTAAGGGTGGCAGTCGAGGACTTCACAGTCCTAGTAGACTACACAATACGCAAGTTCTGTGTGCAACATGTAAGTGCTTCTGGAATTAGCAATTTTTTTTAAAAATAAGGACCTAGATAAAATAAAACTAGAAGGTATATGATGAAGAAACACCAATTTTTAATTTGAGACCTAGATAATGCTACAAAAGCATGCAATACAATACCTCTGGGAAATATTTGCCTACAAGTAGTGCTCTCCTTTGTGACATTTATGTTGAAGACTTTGATAATGTGATGGCAATATATTGTGCAGTCTTGAAACAGGGCTTTTACTTAAGAAGTGAGTCACACACTAACTTTAGAGTTATGTTTAAGTGCTAAAACAGCTGAAATATAGGTCCACAAAACCACAAACTGTGTTTAAATTAATTTGCAAGGAACATAAAATAATAATATCTTGTACATTTTATTGAGCAACAGATGGGAGATGACAACTCACAGGAAGCTTTATCATTAGACAGCCACGGTGTGTAGTCACATTTCCCTTTGCAAGACATTCTAATCTTTTATACCTGGTAACAAGGCTCAACAATATAATGCAATATTTAATTGGATTCTATATTAGAACATTAATTTAGCCACACAAGTCATGCAGACTTTGCACAGGCTTTGTGATAGACTGTATTCTCCTAGATGAGAAAAGTTTTCCAGTTGATTTCTGAAAACATAAATTATAGTCTTAATATTTAACTTCAGTATTTATATTTTAATTTAACAGCAAGCCAGTGATGCTGCTAAGACTCTCCGACCAGTCACACAGCTTCACTTCACCAGCTGGCCTGACTTTGGAGTCCCTTTCTCCCCCATTGGCATGCTCAAGTTCCTGAAAAAGGTCAAGGCTGTGAATCCGCCGTTTTCTGGACCTATTGTGGTCCACTGCAGGTATTGTAGAGACAGCAGCTGATGCAGCTAAATGTGTTTAGTTCACCTGAACACGCTTAGTATTTCTGAATGAGGTTTTGTTTCAGTTAGTTTCTATGGGAAGTGATGTATTTGGGTATGAATATACTCTCTGTGAGTCTGTGGGTAAACAAAAACAAAGTGATTTATAGCAACAAATGTATTACAAGGACAGATGTCCTTTTGTTTTTCTCCCGCTTCCCATTATCATACAAGTATCAGCTGAGCATTGTGGTAAACACAGCGTGTGTGTTTTCTGTCCCCAGTGCTGGTGTTGGGAGAACGGGAACCTTCATCGTAATCGACGGCATGATCGACATGATGCACGCGGAGCAGATAGTTGATGTGTTTGGGTTTGTCTCCAAGATACGAGAGCAGCGCTCCCAGCTCATCCAGACAGATGTGAGTTAAAGTTGGACTCCCTGGTGCATTATCATCAACTCCCCATAGAGTGTGTATTTAACAGTCGTCTATCCTCCCCCTAGATGCAGTACTCATTCGTCTACCAGGCCTTGCTTGAATACTACCTCTACGGAGACACAGAGCTGGATGTGTCATCTCTGGAAGGACATCTGCACAAACTGCACAACACCTTTGCCGATGGTGATCGTGTGGGACTGGAGGAGGAGTTTAAAGTAATTTGATTTGTTTCACATTCTGTCTAAATAAAACAATAAAAAACTAAATGAAAAGACTAATGACACTTAAATAACCCTTTGCTTACCAATGTAATGTACTTGGAGATGCACTAATCTGAATTTTGTAGCCATTTGTCATCAGATTTTTACCTCAACAAGTGGACAGTAATTGTAGCAAATTTAGATTTTTCATTGACCATAATATGTAGTAAATAGTATTTTACTATAGTAGATAAAAATTTAGGAACTGTATTCAAAGTACGTTTTTGTACTCTTCCTGTTCTGAGCAGTTGTAGGTTATTTATATTAGCAGTAGAAGTGGGTGAGATTCCTGTTCCTGTGAAACAAGGTGATTATTTTTGAAACAAAGAAAAGGGTAACCGAGTTTGCATCATAAACTTGGATTTCTGGCATCTTTACTTTGCGATTATTTTGAAAATACGCTCTGTGAGTGAATAGTTAAGTACGTTGGGGCTTATCCTGACTAAGATTTGCGAAACACTTTCAATGTTTTTTATTCCAGCATGTTGCATGATAGTTTGAGTTCAAATTAAAGTCTAATCTGTAACTTTGCCATCTTATCTGCTTAGTCTTCCTCTCTCTCTTAGCCTCAACCACAGACATTTCACGACTTGTAGAAAATAGCCTTATGATCGCTTTACTTCCTCTGATACTGAAACTGACTTTAGGTCTAAAACAAAGAGTGTCATGAGTTTGATCTGGATGGGATCAGAGATAGTAATAGGAAGTAGGTTAAATTTTGGGTACATCTTTAAAAAAATAATCTGTATATGATGAAATTCTGGCTGTGGGTGTTTTCTGGAATACAATGAATAGTCTTTCCATCTAATTGAAAAAATGCTTTCCATTTCATCAAGGTTTCATTTAAAATGTTGCTTCTGGCCAATGTCTGCTTTAAAACATAAAGCAAATATGTTTTCTTTTGGCAATGAAACAAACTCAGGGGTCAGTTCTTTGCTGTATATTACAGGAATGGTGAGTCTGAATACATACTGCTTCAGTGAGTGGCCAACATTTATTTAACTCCAGAGCAATAGAGGCCTGTGGCCTAATTCTGTTAGAAGTAAAACTAAATTAAAACAAACCACTGCTGAGGAAGCAGGAAGGTCATTGTGGGCTTTCAGAGCAGGGGTGAACAATGTTTATAAAAGGATGTGGCCTTCTGTGATATTTCATTTCTCTTCACATTGCGTGAACTGCCAAATGTTTTTACTTTGTTTATTGAAACGGAAAAAAAGATTTAAAATGTGAACACGCAAAATCAGAAAAGTTGTAACACCCTTATTGATATTATTCTAACAAGATTGTGGACAATAGTATTTTTTGGGTGAACCTTAATAAAATTTGGCTGCTCATGACAAATCCTCTGTCAGTAGTAATATGAAGTGTACAAGGTGAAAGTTCTATCTTTGCCGCCAACTTTAGATTTCGTTTTAGCAAAATTTAATCACAAAACAATCTGTGTTGCAAAGTTAGCTGCAAAGCCAGTGAAACTTAGATTTCATTTTAAAATGAATGTATATTTGTATTCCTCACACTTTGCCTTCTTTTGACTTCTCAGAAACTGACCAACATGCGAATAATGAAGGAGAACATGAGGACTGGGAATCTTCCTGCAAACATGAAAAAGAACAGAGTTCTACAAATTATTCCATGTAAGAAACAGTTTGTCTACTTATGGCAGTTTCAAGACATAGTGTCAGGTGGTTGCGGGGTTAAGGATCTGTTATCTTAGTTATCTTAAATTTGTCGTCAACTAAAGCAGTACATGTCTGTATGACGAGTTTCCACCAAGCCCACAGTAATATCTTTCTCCTACAGGTAAGGGACTATTACAGATAATTTTATGGATCCTCACTTCAAAAAATCCAGAGTTACCCTTCAGGCAGTCTGCTCTGAGAATCACTCATGCCGGTTTATAAATCCAAAACCTCATCAATATTTCCATCTTTTGCTCTAATGTACGTTTGTCATTTGCTTTGTCCATTTCAGATGATTTCAATAGAGTCATTCTCTCCATGAGAAGAGGCCAAGAGTTCACAGATTACATCAATGCGTCTTTTATAGATGTAAGAAAACATGTCTTCCTGCAGCAACAGGTTCCCAACAGTACATATACTTCACCCTGTTGTATCCAAAATGTAATAAATGAATATTCTGCTGTTACTCAGGGATACAGACAGAAGGACTACTTCATTGCCACACAGGGCCCTCTTCCCCATACTGTAGAGGATTTCTGGAGAATGGTGTGGGAATGGAAATGTCACTCCATTGTAATGCTTACTGAGCTCCAGGAGAGGGAGCAGGTGATCCACGAAAGCAACTCATTGAACACTTAACTAAGCTAAATTTATACTTTTACTGTCTTTTTCACATAAGATGCAGTGTTGTTTTTGCCAAAGCAATTATAATACATTATATATTCTGCATATTTATATAGCAATTCTGTTTTACAGGACAAATGTTGCCAGTACTGGCCTACAGAGGACTCTGCTACCTATGGAGACTACACTGTAGAGCTGAAGGGAGACACTTTGTGTGAAACCTTCAGTCTACGAGATTTGGTACTCACCTTTGTGCCGGTAGGCAAATTAACTTTCCACTATCAGAGATGTTGTAAATGTGGCTTCCTTCATATAATTTACAACACTTGACTCTTCTTATGGAGCTACTTTGTTTGCCTATAAGAAATGTAATTAAACATTAAAATCCCAAAAACTAGTTAAAGATTATCTAAACTGAGTCTGTTCTTAAATTCAAGCAAAATACAAACTTTCGATCAGTTTTGTGTTGGTTTTTGACACCCCACATCTTTGAATGAGTAAATCTGGATCCTTCTAAGCAAATTGTTTTCTTTAAATAAAAAAAATTTAAAAATTACGTTTATAAGGTAGTTTACATTATCTAAGAAAAGCATATGTACAGGCTTCCACAACCTTTATCTAAAAGTATATTAATTTCAAAGAATTCTTACCAATAATAAATGCAATTCCTTGGAAGAAGTGTTTTGGATGTGATCCATCAACTGCCTAAAACTTAGAACAAAACAGGAAGCATAAAACTCTCTAGACTGTGAGAGTAAAGCAGGATGTGTTTAGGCTTATCAACCGGGAGGTTCTTATTTCGTATATTTCATTAACTTCGACCCACTTCGCTCTTTAAAGGTCTGATTGTTCATAGGCCTCCCAGAATATCCCTCGTCGGCCCACCTCTCATACACTGCACAGCGCGCCCCATTATCGTTCATAAACTGCTAATAAATCACATTTCAAAGGTATTATGATCTCTCATCTACCTGTGCATTTCCTCTAAAAGGAGAAGCAGACAAGGACTATCAGGCACTTCCACTTCCATGGGTGGCCTGAGATCGGCATCCCGGCAGAGGGCAAAGGCATGATTGACATCATCGCCTCAGTGCAGAGACAGCAGCAGCAGTCTGGGAACCATCCCATAGCCGTACACTGCAGGTAGGTTTCAGTTTGTGGAAGTGGCTCATTCTTGAGTAAGCCTGTATTAAAGCCAATATTTTGTGTTTATGCTGCAGTGCTGGTGCAGGGCGAACAGGTACATTCATTGCACTGAGCAATATTTTGGAGCGAGTCAAAGCAGAAGGCCTGCTGGACGTGTTCCAAACCGTCAAGAGTTTACGCATGCAGAGGCCTCATATGGTCCAAACTGTTGTAAGTAGAAGAATATGATATTGCCAATAATCTGAAATGTATCAGAGATATGTATGTCAGTTTCCACAGCTCCGCCAGGCCCCAATAGTCAGAAAAAAACACTGAGTACAGGTCAGTAGAGAAACTACCAGCGTTAGAGTTAGTGTGGGTGCCCTCACTCATTCAGACACCTGTACATGCATGGTAATTAATACCACCAAACTTCCTCACAATGATAAATATTTTGTCCAAACTGGAGTTTTTGCAGTCAGTAGACTCAATTACAAACATGTGAATTTGAGGTCCAACATTTAGCATGAGATAATAGAGCTGCACAATATTACAATCGTCAAAGAACTGCTTCAATATTTCAAAACCCTAAAAAAAAAAAACTGAGCAACAACCTCCAGGGGGCAGGAGTAAAAGTAAAACAGGAATTTCTTTAAAAAAGCACTGTGATGAACTTTAATAGTGATGAGGCTAAGATAAACCACTAACAAAGTGATGGAAATGTTTCAATGTGGAAAAAAAGATCAAGGATTTGCTTAGGATTCAAGCTCCTCCATGAAATACAGTGATCAGATTATACCTTACATGTGTGTGTATACTTGCACAATGTATTCTCCCAATAAGTTGTGCAGATTCTCATTTTACTGGTCACCATGTGATCCACCTTTCTTCTTTCCCTACAGGAACAGTATGACTTCTGCTACAAGGTGGTACAAGACTTTGTTGACATTTTCTCAGACTATGCCAATTTTAAATAAAATTTGCCTTAAACCTGGTTTTTAAATGTTTTCTAAAGCCAATTTTGCAGTTTTCAGTTTCGTTAACCTTGTCAAATGACATTCTATTTTGCTATGCACTTGTCCTACCATTAACCCAAGTTGTTGTTCTGCTGTGATGTATGGCATATGTCGGAGGGTGAAAATTGTAAATGGAAGAAAAGTCAGATTAATGGTGTACATTTTAAAATGTGTATTAAGCATTGCTACAAAGATGATCTCTGATTTGTTGTATAATATTGTTTTATAACATTGTTTAAATGTCTGGGTTTCATTTTGAACTGATAGTTTTTAAAAAAATGTAGTTATTGTAAATGTATTTATGTATTGACATTCCTTGCTTGTGTTAATGTTTATTATTTTTATTAATTATAAATTGTTCTTTACTGCTAACATCTGAGATTAGGATATTTTTTTTCTTCACGATACTGTCAGAAATGTTTGCAACAATGACAGCCATATTGCAGAGAACAAAAGTCTGAGGTGGTGATACTGAGCTTGAGTTTTATAAATTAATTCAGTGAGCCAATCCAGACAGACACAACCTGCCTTTTATCTGTATACAGCAAAAAGTACCAAGAATCGCTGCACATTACAAAAGCACAGGAGTAAAACTTTTTGCCAAGAACCTTTAAAACAGAATGTTTTTTCTTTCCAAGTTTAAATTATTGCTAATTAGTGCCATATTTAAGTCATAAAATAGAAAAGCACCAGGTTAAAAAGAATGATGCCTACAAGTTACCTATGGATGCAGAGTGCAGAAAAGTCTTAATTTTATGTTGCACAGTCAAAACACAAAAATGTCAGCCAAGAGTTACAAACACGATCCTTTGTCAGATTCTTTGCCAAACTGGTTTACAAAATAAAGAATGGGAACGAGAAAAGACAGGATGTAAAGTTTAAATAAATTTTTGAACAGAGTCTGATCCATCTGGTACTCAAACACCTCACAGTTTTATTTTTGCTACATGTAAATACCACATGACAAAGTGCTAACATAGTGACCAGTACTGTAAAGTGATTGGTCCAGTTTTGTAAACTACATGTATGTGACTGTGAGATACAGACTGAATAAAACAACAAGTCTATGTTGCCAGGGCTTGATTTCTGTTCAAATGGTCCTTTTGAGGAATAGTGAGGAGGGCTTGTTTAGCTCCAGCTCTTTGCCTTTGCTCTCTCGCTTTCTCTGTGGGTGGTCTATCATTTTTTGGACTGTCTGTGTCTTTAAAATGCAAGTTGCAATATTAAATTCATCTAAAAATGCTTTGGATTTTAGTGGAATGTTCTTTGCGTTGTAGGTTTGTTCAAAGACGAGCCATCATTGCCACTCTTTAAAGGCTGAAATGTGTGCATTTACCAATGGAAGAAATACAGCTGCAACTTTGTGCGTCATTATTGGCCTCAAGGCATGCTCAATGTGATATGGTTAAGAAACAATAGGAAGCATATGCTGTGGGTAACTGACTCTTCCCTGACAAATTACATGAGAACAGTACATTTAGGCTGCGTTCACACTGCATTCCGATTTTTTTATTTAATTTAATTTTTTATGTAACGCGACCTGTATCTGATCTTTTCATGAGAGTCTGAACAGCACAGGTTGGATTCTTTTCGAATGCGACCCAGGCCAATTCCATATCCAATATTTATTCGATTCAAATACGACCTAATGTTCAGGTCGCATTCAGCCAAACTGAATGTCACTGATATTGGAGAAATCCCACTATTCTGCACCTTGATACGTGCAAGCGGGACATATAACAATTAAGTTGTTAATATGCTACACTGGTTGGACAGCAACTTCAAATATGTAAGCTATGGCGGTTTGCAGAACACTGAACGCTGACGCTATTGCGCCCTCTACTGTGCATGTGGGAAACTTTTAGGGCCTTTGCCTGTTCAGACTGCTGGACACATACAGGTCACATATGTGTGGCAGTGTGAATGGCACCGGCAAAAAAATCCGACTTGACAAAATATAGGAATTTGGGTGAGAGTGAACGCAGCCTTAGAGAAAAGAGGCTACACTAGCCATGTGTTGATATGAGAAAACATTTTTGTTGTAGGTCACAACAAAAAACTTGTAAAAAATTTTTTTAAAAAAAACGGTGGTTTTTTTAGTATCATTACAATTTCCTAATTCCTACAGTAGTCATAAAATAACTAGAACCAAAGGTAATGTTTTTTTTTATTTGAACACACATGAACAATCTTCTAGTTAGGCATTACTTTCAAATAGTAATGAGCCAGCAAAGGCCACTGCACATTAAACCAATAAGTTGGTAAATTTGATGTGGGTTTTTTCTAAAAAAGCAAAGAGTAAAATACTGTTATCATGGAATGCAGAGATTCATGCTAACTGATCACAAATAAACAAGCAGAGACATTAAACCCTAATCAGTAGTTCTGAGTCATGAAGATTTGTGCTAATTTTGTCACACAGAACTGTTTTTATTTATTTTCTTTTTTAAAAAAAAAAAAAAAAGCTCTTTGTAAAGCTTCTTTGTTAACAATTTTCACTTCCTCAAGAGACCCAGCGCCACAGAGTCGGCTGGGGAAAAATGTGCTCAGGATGAGCAAAGAGGTCACATGAATTATGTATTGACCCTAAAAATGAACTTATTTTTAATGGCATCTTTTTACTTACAAAGCTTTCCATTTTATTTTCAACAAAGTCTGGAAAATGAAGCAGGCTGGCTTGAGCCATGACTGCTTTGCTGCAATCTTTTTATGTCTGGCTTTTGGAAATTATTTTGTAACAATACTGGGCATTTGTGTAATGAACTCAAGTTGGCATTTCCTTTTGACCAAAATATGCTGAAGTTAGTTTAATGGTCGTGATTTGGCACCAGGATGCCTAATAAGAGGAACACATATAAAGATAACTTGAATAATGCATATTTCTTTCTTAGCTCTTTCAGGAGATCCTAACTATGAAACTCAAAACCTTTTTCAAGAGCAGATAAGCAACAAGTCTGGTATTTTAAAATCTGTAGAGCTTTGTCATTTGTTTCTAAAGCTGCCTCTATCCCCTTTAACATATTTTGTCCAATAGAAACGCACATCTTTTTCTTGCTGACAATGTTTTCACCTGAAGCTGAATTACTGGAGTAACAAAAGCACGATAGCTCCATTTTCATATGACTTGTTGATCATTTGGCTCATAGTGTGTGTCAGTGTGTCCAGCGATCGTGTGTTGATAAGCTTTAAGAAAAGCTTGTTCTCATTGTTCATAAACCTGGTACTTTGCATTAAACATTGTAAAATTCATGGTGCAAAGGTTATCACTTAGATGAACAAAGAAATGAGCTGGTAGACAATCTTGATCACCCTTGACCCTGATTGGTTTGATTAGTATGTGCAATTAATTTCTGTTGAGCACAACACCTACCTATTAAATATGTTATGCTATAAGTATGGTTAATGCTCAACTATTCTGCCAAAATTTAATTAGCAGAGTCAATAGCCAGACCACTGGGGCAACCACAGGTGTCGAGGATGAAGAATAACGTTTCCCAGGTAAGAAACTAAATTTTACATTTTACTTCCTTTTTTGCGTATCTGCTTCCGTTTATAGCCCCAGATTGTGCTATAAAATAAAATCAATTTCATTGTGAACCTTTTGCAACTGGTAATCACTATGGATGCTCCCACCAGGTTTTTTGCTGCCAATTTCTGATTCAAGTCACCCTTGACGGCCGACCACCTATGATTGTTGAATAAATTTTGTTTTAATTAACTTCGGTTTCATTTAAACCATTTATGTTATCAGACTTGTCTCTTGAATGAGTGACGTTAACTGATGGAAGACCAGAGAAAAATAGACATGGGGCACATAACTATCCTGAGAATTAACTCAGAGATTTTATCTGCCAGTCTTCACAGATGGTATCTTCTGCACGTCTTTTTGAAGCTTCACTGATTTCTTCACAACTTGTTAAATTCACTCTTACTGTCTCGCTCTCTCCTTCACAGCAGAACATCTTGGCACACTAAAACCATTGAACAGACAGCTTATGTCTGCAATAACTCAATCATCCACCTCTCACTGAAATGGTAATGTGACACAATGGCACCAAACTGCATTACAACTGATATTATACACCACCATTGTATTAACAGTCAAATATGCTTTCAAATCTTATTTTTCAGAAAATCTATTATATGATTTGATGAACAGGGTGAAGGCTGAATATGAAAAATTGTCTAAAGAAAATTTAAAAGGCATCTGCCACATACTATTGGGTCTTAGATTTGGGATTTGGAATAATTGGTAATCTGGACAAATACCAGCTTTGCTCCTTGGAGTTTAAATAATTTAAAAAATAACTACATCAATGATTTTCAACAATTTAAATCTTTTGAGTCAGGGTTAGAGCTATCAATTAGTTAAAAGGGTAGCTACCCACCAATCAGGTGAAACTAAAACTTTTTAAATTAGAAGTGAAACATAAGAAGCCAGTAACGGTAGTCATTTTTCTTTCTCAAACATTAGATTTCAATCAATGCTGACAACTCCTATTTACTTTAGCTTTTTGTGGATAGCACAAAATCACAACAAATGTCATCTGAAGGTTCTTTACAAGGTTATTGAAATTGAAGTTATATTGAGTCCAACTTGGGCAGAATTAAAATCACATCAGTGCTTCTCAGTACACAGTCAGAATAAGACCCTGATACGATTACAAACTTCAGGTCAATCTAACTATAACTTGAAACCCAGTTTAACATGGCTCCTCACACACAAAGTAAAGATTAGGAACAAGTTATATGCACATCAGCAGATTTACTTACTGACACTTTTTAAAATGCGACTGAAAAAGCTTTTAAGCAGTTTATAGTCAATGTTTAATTTATTTCTTAGTCTATTTTTAAAACAATATCTAGAATTTTATAGTTAGGTATGAAATATGTAGATGCAACTCCATCAGTTTTGGGGTTACATCAGTGCATCAACTCTCCCCTAAAACAATGTTCCCTTACCAGTCACAACTTCTCCCTTTCCTCTTTGAGCCCTTGGTATTTTAAAATGTCACATATCCTTTTTTATGTTGCTTGGTATTACTACATAGGGCCAAATCTTACAACATAAAGAGTGAAAACCAGGTCACAGTAAAACAGAAATTTACTGTTATTTTAAAACAAATTGCAGAGATCACCTTTGAAACTGTATAATGTATTTTTGCAATTAACAGATAACACTGATACAGCAACATTCCCCATCTGTTTCTTAGACAAATGTATCCTTATTTTCCCTGATTTTGACATTTCCAAACAGCTGTCAAGATTTTCAAATCCATCCATAAAAAGCAGGGCGGAAAGTTTTAATTTATGAAAGGCAGTAAAACAAAGCAAAAAGAAGCCTTATACGAAAAATCCCCAGGAAACCAGGAAAGCTTTCAAAAACAGTCTGAGTCACAAAAACACTGCTATGTCATCAAAAAACTGCTTATTCTGCAGCAGATGTCAATATGATGCACATACTCACCCTGTAGCTTAAAAATAGCACTAGCATCATTGTTGCTGATTGTAATTAACATCCAACCTCCAAAAATGTAACTGATAATTTATCACATGTGAGTGAAATGCACTGTTGGAGCATTAGAACATACAAACTGGCTCATAGCGCTTTGGTTTGAGTGCATGGTTATATAACTCCTAATGCTATAAAATCAATGCTTGCAATCTTTATTACATTCACGGACATGTGTTGAATGCATGTTAATCTTGTGTACAGTTCAAGGATCACAATAGAGATGAGCCTAAATCAGCTCTTAAAAACACAGGCAAGGTTCTTTCCAAAATATGAAAAACAAAGTCACACAAGTGGAATGCGCCACCTTATGACTTTATACAGGAGGAAGCTTGAATCATTGCACATCTGGGCTGAAATGTCAAGCTGCTTAATTACACAGAAAAACCAGCTGAAGTCTTTGATCCAAGTATCAGATGAGAAACAGGAGGACGGTGTCAGATGAGATGTCTGTCCAGCTGTCTCCACTCCAGCAGGACGCACACTGAACCCATTTAAATCACCACAGACATGACCCTTTGATGTCCTTTTAAAATAAGTCCAATTCAAACTCTTCAGTTTATTACTACAAACCGCCAGTCAGTAAATAAGCTAGTAAATACAGCCTTCGCATACTATGTGGCTTCTTAATGTGGATAAAACGGTCTGAGTTAAACTGTGTGCATTGTTCCTATTTATCATCTCTGAGCAGACAAACAGGAAATATTAAACATTAAACATGACATACTGC